ATTTTAGAGCTGAAAGAGAGCTTCAAGATCATCTAATTTGATCTTATCATCATATCCTTTTTTCAACCACACTACACAGGAAGAAAGGGAGCACATTTTGTTGTAAAAATTAACATATGGTCTCTCCTATACCCAGACTGTTAAGCAACCGTAGTTCCAAAAGACACCTAAAAGTCTCTTATTATTTTATTCAACCCAAAAAGACCTTCAGGAAACAACCAATTCTGTTCCTTTACAGACTGGGGAGTGGAATTTTACCTTTTAGGGACCAAAACTCCTCCAGGATATTGGCTTAATCTTCAGGGCAAGGAACTGTATTTCTCTAGGGGTAGTTGCTTATTCAAGCTAATGCTTACTTTACCTTCAGGAAGCATCTGAGAGGCTCATTAATAGTACCACTTTATGCATTTAGTGGCTGATAAATTCAAGGAAGCATTTTTCTTTACAGCGAGTGATTCAGGAAGGGTAAGAAAGCAATGCTGGTTATGGAAACCAAACCTTTCTTTTTAAAGTTTCAATAGAAAGGCTGTTATTCGGCAGCCCCTTTCATTCCAGGAACTCAGAGTTCTCTACAAATTTAATGTTTCTGACTCAAGTAGGGGTGGGAGGCCAAAATCACTTTTCCTACATCATAAAGCCTAGAGTAGTAGTAGCCTTAGGGGGAAAAAACTCCAGGACACATTTCTATAAAGTTCTTTTGATGTAGGCTTGAGAACTAGGCTCCCAGGCATATCCAGGGCTATTTAATGGCTCCAGAGGCCAAAGGTTCTTCCTCTTCTGGTTTTTGTAGCCTATGATTCCAAGCTCCTTTGTGCCTCTATGAAATCCAGATATTAATTTGTTATAAGTATGTTACAATGCACCTGGGAAGGATAGTCTGTATATAATTCTGTGTAAAGAATATTCTGATTTTTTAAGCCACATTTTTCAAAGAAGAATTTCTAGAGATGCTAAAATGTTATGTTCTGGCAGTACTCCTTGGAACTAATGTGACATACCCTACCCCTGTAGGATTATTTCTATAGATAACTGACCACTGTCATGCCTCTTTTCAGTTGTTGCTACGATTCCATTTTTAAAGGAAGCCACAAAATGGTGTTTAAATACATCAACAAAACAGACCTGTTAAACTGCATTGAAACTGCTTTCCTCTGTGCAGAGCAAAGTATCAATAATCACCATCCAGGAGCCAAGAGTGCTTGATGCTAATTGGGGTGCATCTTTTTTCTCCCACCCTCTGAATACAGGCAATCCCTCAAAGTTCTGCCTTTACTTTTATTCTCTCCTGATGCCTTGTAGTCCTGGATATCCCACCACATTTTTACTTCCAATCCTGACCTGATTTGCTTGTTGGACATCTCTCTACCTGAATGTCCTACTTACATCTTAACTTCAACAAGTCCTTAAATTCCTTCCACTAAACTCCTTTTGTAAAACCTCAATATGACATAGTGGTAACCCCAGGTTTTTAAGGCTATACCAATGGTATGACCCTGGTAAGTCCTACAAAAACTTCCCAAGTATGATCATGGCAATGATGGCCTATCTATGGTCTGAGGACAAAGAAGCTCATCACCAAAAGGTGGCCATCAGGTAATGATTTTTTTTTTTGTCAAAGCAACTCATGAAAACCATTGACTAAGTCCAAGACATGGAAAGGTTGGGATCTGCACTAGTAAAAGGAACCTTGATAGTAAGTACAGATCTAAATGAAAAGAATCTAGGGGGCAGTTAAGGTGTCGCAGTGGATAGAGCACCAGTCCGTGATGTCAAGAGGATCTGACTTCAAATCCTGCCTGAGACCAAACACTTGACACTTATTAGCTGTGTGACCCTGGGCAAGTCACTTAACCTCAATTGCCTCACAAAAAAAAAAAAAAGATTGTTGTACCTCTTTCATGGCACTTATTACATAGTGCTTTGTATTTTTGCAGGCTTATGATCTCATCACTGTAGCCACTCACTCCCTTATAGATCCTAACCCAACAGAATGTCTTTTTATCCTGTGAGTTTTATTCATGAAATTTTATCATAAATCTTCCAGAGTATATACCCTCATATTATAGTTATTTACATTCATTTCTTATCTCCTTTACTCCATTGTAAACTCCTTTAAGGTCCAGGATGCCTCCCTCCATCCAGGTCAATAAATTATAGGACTTTAAAAAAACACATTCTTGGGGGCAGCTAGGTGGTGAAGCCTCAGACCAAACAATTAGCTGTGTGACCCTGGGCAAATCACTTAACCCCAATTGCCTAAAAATAAAATAAATAAATAAATAAACATATTCTTAAAAAGCCAGTTGAATGGAACACTATACTTTTTAAGGCTCCAGTGGCATTTCTTGAAAGACGCTTGTCAGGGCCTATAGTCATACTTATCTTTATCACATCTGAGTATCAGACGAACCAAAAACAGATGTTTGTTTTTCTGTGCTGCAAATAACCAGGTTTAGAGAAGGCTTAGGTAGAAGGCATAATTATAAAGATAATGCTATAGTCCATTCTTCATGTTGCACTGGGAGAGAAACTCGACCACATCAGAGGCCTGAAAATATCTATCCTAGGGAACAGGATCTCACATCAATATGGCAAGACTCCACGGACATGCTTACAAACTACAAGTTCACAATTTAAAAAAAAAAAAAAAGAATGTCTGTTGGATATCCTAGTTTCTTATTCAAACATATAACTTAAACATATCACCCAGCTATTTTTATTTTCTTCACCCCATGTTTCTGCTGCCTGTCCCAGCTCAGAATGTCAGGTTGTAGTCATCTAGGTGAAGTGGATAGAATGCCTGGCCTGGAGTCACAAAGACTCATCTTGAATTCAAATCTGGCCTCAGACCCTGGGCAAGTCACTTAACCCTGTTTGCCTCAGTTTCCTCATCTGTAAAAAGAGCTGGAGAAGGAAATGGCAAACCACTCCAGTATCTTTGCCAAGAAAACCCCAAATGGGGACACAAGAGTGGGAAACGATTAAACAACAACAAAGTTATGGACTAACTTATCATCTTGTTTGTTTTTGGCACTCAACTTTGAAAAATTAATATAAAGATTGGCATGGAATTAAGTAGTTCGATAAAATATTTGAGAAGGATAAGATTTCTTTAAGGATGGAAAGTTCTCTACATGACAGGCCACAAGGTTGGGGACAAAATCATAGAGAGCTACAAAATGCTTTGGATGTTTCTTTTCTGCTTGGAGGTGGGTCTGGAGTCAGAAGACCTGATGACAAATCCTGGCTCAGAGGCTCATTATCTGTGTGACTTAAAGTTTCCTAGGCCACAAGATTCCTCACCTGTAAAAAGAGTAGTTCAATTATAAGTCCCTTTCAGCTCGAAAATTTATGATCCTATGACCAGATGGGCACAGAAACTGAATTACTGTCAATATTGACAACAACAGCTAGTTTTCATATAGCATGCTTTGCAAATTCTATCTCATTTTAACCTCACAACAACCCCGGGAAGTTGATACTATCATCATCATCATCATTATTATTCCCATTTTACAGATGAGGTAACTGAGGCAGACAGAAGAGACCTGCCCAGCCAGGGTCATGCAGCTAACAAAAACCTGAGGTCTGGATTTCCAGCACTCTATCCACTGTGCCACCTAACTACCTGGCATCTTAAATATACTAAGTGACCTTAGTATTCAAGGGGTTTCCATAGGGAAGTCTGTTTAAAAGCAAAAAATCCCCTTCTCTGCCCCAATTTACTTTTAAAGGAAAATTCAATTTTCTTGTGTTTGCTTAAAGTAGGGTACACTTGTGCTGGAAAACAAATTTAAAATAGGAGACAGAACAAGAGGCATGAGATGGAGTGAAATAAACATCCCCAGAAGGTTGGGTAGGCCACCTACAGCTGACTACAGCCAAACCACCAGAATCTCCCCTTCTTTCCAAACTCTGACACGGTCCACCCAAGCAAGAGAAAATGCAGAAAAGATTATTTGTTGCTTCCCGCTGCTGATGCACATCCATGTTATCCACAGCACAAATGGAACACCTCAGTCTACCAAAGACATATGTTTCCGAAAGAACTTGGGAAACCTTAATGCTTTTATCCACATCCACACCCTTCTTTTGTTACTTTAACACTGAACAAGAAACCCATAAGGAGGGAAGCTGGGAGGATGGTACTTTTTTTTTTTAAGGGAGGGAAAGGGTGTTAGTTCTATAAGAACTGAATGAGATTAAAGCCACTACCACACTGCAAGGTTAATTTTCTGCTTTCACAGCCATCTGTGGGGCAGGAGCATGAAAACTGTAATCGGATTCTCAGAGGGGCCCCCAGAGAAAAGGGGGGAGGCATGCTCCAATCTGTTGTCTCCACTCACTGCAGGACAAAAAGGCTTTCTCCACAGAGTAGGTTAAACACAACCACCCAGCTTCACAGCCCACAACCACCCACCCAGAAGAACTGGAAGCCTTTCCCCAATTGGGGGAATACATTTCTCTCTGGGATAAGGGACAAAAAGAGGGAGACTCCCCAAACACTGAACACCCCCCCCAACACAACCCTCTTGGCTGATGGTCATCGGCCAGGGGTGAAACCATTTCCCAAATGGGTTTCCAAAGTCACCCACAACTGTCCCCAGAGCCCCTGACCACAACTCCAAAAGCAGTCCTTTAGAAGCTGGAACATTCACTGGAACCAATCCTGGGTACTGTAGGAGGCAATTAAAGAGGGGGGAGGGGAGCTTTTCCCCATTCTCGAGCGGGTGCCTGGGGCAGTGGCGGGTCGGGAGGTCAGAGTAAGAGAGAAAGGGTGAGCCTGCGGAGGTGAAGACAACAGAAGCAACGGGAAGAAGGTGCCAGAGTAGCTCCCAGGAAAGTTCCCTCCTGCCCAACGTGGTCTGTTTCAAACAAACAGGGTGTAAGTTAGCATGGCAAACTTTTCCGAGGCTGGGAGAGACGAGCCAAGGGGAGAGAGAAGGAAGGGGGTGCCTGCAGCCTGCTTCTCCTCCGATCCCTTGGAGCCCCCCTCTTACCATCTCCTTGCGGAGCAGAGCCAAGGCGGCGTCCAGGTTGGGGGGCTTGGGAAGCAGCGTCGCCGTCCGCCCCCCGCCACCGCAGCAGCCCGCAGCCCCTCCGCGGCTCAGCTCGTCCTGGATGCGGGATTTCTGAGCGTACAGCCGCTCCAGGTGCCGCCAGCCCCCGGACGCGCCCCCGCCGGACGAGGAGTTCAGCAGTCCGCTCAGGCTTTTGGGCAGGGGAGGCAGCCCGTCCACTCGCAATCCTCGCACCGCGCTGTTGCTGCTGCTCCCGCCGGCTGTCTCGGCCGGCCCGGAGCCGCTCACCCCCGCCATAGCCCAGCACGCGAGCCAGCACACGCCCAGCGGCCGGCTCCGACTCTGGCTCCAACCCCGATCCGACTGCGGCCCCTGCCTCAATCCAGAGGGACAAGCTCGCCCCGGGCCCGCCCCCTTCGCCGGCCCCCTGCCTGCCCCGCCCACTTCCCTTTCCCTTCTTCGGGCCTCTTGCTCTCCCTCCCTCCGCTGGCTTCCCTTTCCTCCCTCATCTCCAAGCTGGGTCTTCTCGGTCCTTACTCCACTCCCTACTCCTACCTCACTTTACCTGTAGTAGTTTTCTCTGCGCTCAGGCTTTGGAGGGTAGGGTGCAAGACGCGGCACCCACTCCTCCCCACTCACCATACCCTCACAACAAACCAGCATTTATTAAACACTTACCTACTATGTGTAAGGTGCTGGGGATTCAAAGACAAAAATACAATAAGCTCTGCCCTCAAGGTGCTTACTTTCTACTGGAACAGATAATATGGACAAATAAAAGCTGTACATAGAATTTTTCCATGCATATAGAATATGCATACTTCACTATATGGATATAGAATATGCATAGTCTATGGATATAGAAATAGACATTTCCATATACATAACAAATGAAATAAAAATAAATAGTGATATCTAGTAATTTCCAGGGTGAGAACACTAACAACTAGGTGAACAGGGACCCCCTACGACCAGAAAGTTTGTCTCCTAGACTGGAAAAAGAGAGTGAAGCAGGAATGGAAAAGATAGCCCAACTTTTAAAGAACTAGCTATTAGACTTTAAATTCCTTCTGATGGAAGTTCCAGTCATGGGCAATTAAGGCTCCTACTCATGGTAGGTGGAGTGGTTAGTTGATTGTCTTAATTTCAGGTCTGCACAGTCACGCTCAGAAAAAAAAATGTTTCCATTCTTAAATTCAGGGAGGAAAAGGAGACGGGAAGAGCCCATTAAACCAGCTACATCTGCACATGTGATCACAATCCCTCCTTTCTCTAGAAACCCCCAACTCAAAGACAGCTGTCGTTGCTTCAGTTCAATTCAACAGACATTGATCATGTATTATATGCAAAGAAATGTGCAAGGGCTGCTGATATTAAAATAATCCCTGGAGAAGGGGATCACAACATGTGAACCCATAAATAAATACAGTATGTATTCAAAATAATGCGAAGTTATTTCAGGAAGGATAGAGCCAGGGATGTTTTGTTTGCTTGTAGCAAGGACCAGGCAGATTACACGGGAAAAAGAGAGAGGGCCTTTAGAGATTTGAAAAATAATTATCACAGGACTCTGTCAGTTGAAGGTGTGATGCCTAAGGCTTTCCCTGCATGCACCTACCTAAATACAGGCATAACAAAATCCTCAAGCTCGTGCCTGTCTTAAATCTGAATTACAGTCAAGCAAAACACACATTCACAAAAACCCAAAGTTCAGTCCTTCACAGCAGGTCTCCCTGACCTTAAACGCAAACTTTAAGTTTTCAACTATATGAGCACCAGCCAAGAAAAGCACCCTGCCCACTTTTAAAATGTCAAAAAATAAACAAACATTTGATTCAGTCTGGCACTGAACACAGGAGTAATTCAAAGTGGAAATAAGAGGAAAGTGAGAACGGGATTAAAGGTAGGAAGTCATCCATCAACTGGGAGATAAAATAAATAGGAAGGACAGACATTTTCAAACAGTCTCAACCCAGCTGTCCCCAACACCACCACCACATGTCAGTTGGAGGAAGAGACCAGCAGCCCCAGTCCAGACACTGTCTAAATATTCTCCTAGCTGTACTAGAAAGAAGAATGCCTAGAAATGGAGGTGGAAGGGAGTTATCAGATGAAACATGGAAGGGGTTAGGAGTGAGAAAGAGTTCCAGACATAATCTTTCCCTCTTTGTGAAACCCAATTTCTGTAAATACAGATGATCTCTTTTTTAAATTCCATAAATATATTAAAAGAGTAAATCAGAATCACTAGAACCTGGTTGTTGTTGAATCGTTTTGGACTCTTTATGACCCCAATTGGGGTTTTCTTGGCAAAGATACTGGAGTGGTTTGCCATTTCCCTCTTCAGCTCATTTTACAGATGAGAAAATGAGGTAAATTGGGGTTAAGTAACTTGCCCAGAGTGGAAAAACTAGTGTCTGAGGCTGGCTTTGAACGCTCGAAGACAACTCTTCCTGACTCCAGGCCCTGGTCTCCACTCACTTAGCCACCTTGCTGCCCCAGAACCAGGTTGAGTTATTCTTAATAAATTCAAATTGAAACAGAAAATCTTTGACAAAGAAGGAGGGTTGAGTTTCAGAGATAATGACAAAATTAATATCATAAAGTATAAGGATGTTTAGTGCTGTTACATTAAATTTGTTTTACTAATAGAAATAGTTAAATAAGAAAGCTTGTATCCCTTCCAATAAAATAACTTAAAGAAGAATGGTAGAAGATGTCATATTTAACAGTTACAATGTTAAGTGCCATCCCCTCAAGCTATCTTCCTACATATCATTATCCTTTCAATGACAAACTCCTAGAAAGAGGAGTTTCACGGTTTCTATTTCCTTCCCACCCAATCATTTCTCAATCCCTTACAATGAACAAACTTCACAATCCCTCAAAATCTGAAACTGCTGTTTTCAATGTCACCAATGATCTCTCAGCTGTTAAGTCTAATGGGCCTTTTCTCAGTCATTTACATCATCTCTCTAGATTCTAACACTGATGACCACTTCCTCTTCCTAATTATTTTCTTCCTCCGGTTTCCATGATGACACTCTCTCTTGGCTCTTCTCTCACCTGTCTGGTTATTCCTTTTCCATCTCCTTTGCTGGTCCATCATCTAGCCACAGTTTTCTAAGTACCATTATCTCTCTGGGTGCTTTCCTGGTCCCACGTCTCTCCAGTCTCTCACTTAGTGAAATCATCTGTTCTCATTGATTCAGTCATCATCTCTAACTAGATGACTCCCAAATCTACAGAGTCAGCTCTTTTCTCTCTCCTGAACTCCATTACTTCATTCAATCAGTAAATCAATAAACAGTTACTAAGTACCTCCTATGTGCCAGGTGCTGTGCTAAGCCCTGAAGATACAAAAGGAGGCAAAAGACAAGTCTCTACAAGGAACTTACAGTCTAATGTCAAGTTATTGCCAATTGCCTGCTGACTACCTCTAAGCTGATGAGATATTCTATTGGCCTCTCAAACTTAATTTGTCAGTCCCCTCCTCAATTAAAATGTACATTTCTGGAGCAGCTAGATGGCACAGTGGATAGAGTACTGGCCCTGGAGTCAGGAGGACCTGAGTTCAAGTCTGGCCTCAGAAACATAATACTCATTAGCTGTGTGACCCTGGGTAAGTCACTTAACCCCAATTGCCCTCACCAAAAAAAAAATGTACATTTCTTGGAGGAAGGGATTATTTTTGCTTTTTATTTGCATACTTAGTATAGTCACTGATACAGAGTAAATGCTTAATAAATGCTTATGGATTGATTGATGTCCAAAATGGAACTCATCATGTTTCCCTTTAAACTTATCTCACTTCTCTTTCTGAAGAGGACATTATCATCTTCCCCAGAACACAGGGATCCAAATCCTGAAGTCACTTTTGACTCTTCTCTTTCCCTGTTCTCCTCCCACATGCAATAAGTTATCAAATGTTGTCAGTTACAACACCATCACATCCCTTATATTCATCTACTTCTCTTTATTCATCATATACCCTAGTTTGATCTCTTAACACCTTTAACTTGGACATTTACAGTAGCTTCCCAATTAGACTCCCTCATTCCATGCTCCCCTCTCTTGAGTTCATTCTTCACAAATCTGGCAAGAATTATCTTCCTAAGGTACTGGTCTGATCATGTCATTTCCTCCACTCAAATCTTCAGTGGTTCCCAGTTGTCTATGCAGCACTTCTTAAACTGTGGGTTGTGGATCCCATAACTGAATGTTGGGGTCATGAAAAATTTGGCAACAGTAAAAGGTTTCTGAATGCACAACAACCAAAAATTAATTCAAAATCAAATGCTCAATGAATCCGAGGTGTTTCTGGCAGCACTTGCCCGTGTCACACAACTTCACTAGAGTCTTGGTTCTGAGCATACAACGTGCACTCTTTGTACTCTGCATGCCCTCACATCACACAATGCCAATGAACGCTGCCAGAAACACCTCGGCTCAGATTCAAGACTATTGTATATTATGAATTGCAGTGTTTTTACTGTACATACAGAATAGTTAAATGAATTTTGGCTTGGAATCAGGACAAAATTTCCAACAATTTCTGAAATGGCCCTAAACATACTTTTGCTATTTGTGCTATGTACTTAAGTGAAGTGGCATTCTCAGCACTGACAATTATAAAATCAAAATATCGACCAACTCTGAAAAACATTGAAGATACTCTATGTCCTGCAGTATCAAGTATTCTGCTGAGATTTAATTCTTTATATAAAAATAAACAAGCACTATCTCAGTATTCAAATTTGTTTTCATCTTTAATAAATGACAAAATGATATGTATACCAAAGATTGTTTAAAATAAATGTTTTTGATTTATTATCAGTAAATGTTTGATTTGTATACCTATTTTATGTAACTATATACCAGGGATTGAGTAAAAATTTCTCAGGAAAAAAGGGTTGGAAAAAGTTTAAGAAGTATAAACTATAGGATAAAATATAAACTCAGTCTAGAGGCTAAGGTCCTCAACCATATGCCTTCATAATTTTACGGTTTTATTTTATGCTATCCTCCTTCATGCTCTCTGTCTTCTAGCCAAATGAGAGTGCAAGCTCTTCTATAAACTCAACATTCCATCTCCCACCTCTGGGTACTTATATCAACTGTTCCCCATCCCTGGAATGTACCTCATCTTTATCTCTACTTCTTAAAATCATAGTATTCCTTTAAAGTTCAGCTCACATGCTACTGTCTATGGGAAGCCTTTACCTAGATCTTGATTAATATTCTCTCTCCACTTAAATTACCTTGAATTTACACATCTATGTACATATTATATTCTC